GTTGCTCAACTTTCATCATCTTCTTCCATTAGAGAAAATTTTCTATCTCTTCTATTTTAAGTCTTTATTTTTATTAATTTTTATTGCCTATTGGTATTGTGATGGATTGATTTAATTGAATATTTGTATAGTTGGGTATTTTAATAGATGAGTTTGTGCCTTCAAATCTTTATTTTAATTATTAAATCTATACTTCATAATAGTTGATTTAATTGAATATTTTTATGTTTGAGTGTTTAGATTGTTGGATTGATTTAGCTAACATTATCATTGATCTTGGATTAATTATATATTTTTATATTTTTATTAGTATTTTGAACAAATGTGTGTGTGTATGGATTGACATATTAGTTATATGGAGAAAATATTATATTACTTTATTTTATGAATATATATTTAGTGTAATTATAAATTGTTGTATAATCATTGTGATTTTGCTAGATGGTTGTTTATACTTATTGTATAATCTATACAATTTACAGGTTTTAAGTTTTGGATGTATAGAAAAACAAACAATTTTTTTTAAAAAAAATAAACTTTTAACAATGGTTTTTAATACAACCATTGTTAAAATTTTATTTTTTTAATTTTTTTAAATATTTTTCATGTCAGTTATATAAATAATCGATGTGAAATTTTTTTTCAACATCGTTTAATGACCAATGTAGAAAGTCAACTTATTTTTACTTTTTTCTAATAAACGACGTAAAAAGTTTAAAATAATTGTTGTTAACAATCTTTCTTGCAATAGTGGATGTTCAAATTTTTCAAAAGATTAATCTCACAACTAGCTGTGGGGATATTTAGAATAACAAAAAAAAGTCCAATAAATATTTGTCTATTTTTTATTTTTAGTGATAAAATTTTTAAATAAAGACTAACAAGTTTTAGGACAAGGATTTAATTAAACTTAAAGAAAGGTTGCTGAGAGAATCTTACAATTCTTTTTCTTAAAAATGTCATCACATTAATATGTAGATTTAAACACATGCCTTTGTGACTTATCACGTTAATAGTTAAATTCATCTACTCACTAGGTTAAACATTAATTGCATAATGTCTAAGTTTGTTTTAAGCATTAAGGAGCATAATTCAAAGACAGAAGATAGTTCATACTAAAACCCTAGTGCTTTCCTGCCTCCCCCTCCCTCCAGATGATAGTTAAATTCATATATAATAGCAATAAGCTTTATCTCACCAGATGAGATCAGTTATATGCATGTAAAATATAATTTTTTAGGTCAAAAATAAAATATAATATAAAATTTATAAATAGGGCGATTGTAGTTTTATGCAATTTTTTTAATCTCAACAATAATTCTTCATATATTTTATTAAGCTTCATGTAATTTTAATTTTAATTTTTTTAAATATTTTCATATATTTTAATATGTAGGGCCTGACAGTTAAGATAATGAGCACGATCATAAAAAAATCAAATTACTCCCTATTACAAAAAACTTTATCTAAATCAGTTTTGACTGGTTTAGGTAAGGTGTTAATTTTTAAACTGGTTAAGCAATTGGTTTAAATATTGACTATTTTGAACCGGTTGTAAAATTGATTTAAATAAGAGTTCAGGAATGGAACTAATTAAAAAAAATTATATCTTACTAGTGCAAAATAGAATTTTAACAACACATTTTTCATTAGAATTTCCAAAATAACTATGGTAATCAATGATATAGTGGCAAACTTGTAAGTAAGTATTCACAATGTTCAGGCAAACTTATGATGACAGGCTAATAATAATTAATTAATATATTTAATTTATTAATTAATTTAATTATATAAATTTAATAAATTAATTAGTTAAATTAAAATTAAGTGTGTCTGAATTCATACACATTAAATGAAATTAATGATTAAACTAATTAGTAAAATTAATTAATTAATATAATTTAATTTAATAACCAGTTTAGATATACATATATTGAAACCAGTTGAAGCCATAACTAGTTTAGATATTTACAATGTTTACACCCGTTGTGACCACAATTGATTTAGATATATCGACTATGGTCATAGCCAGTTTAGTAACTGCATTTTTTTTAAAAAAAAAAGTTTGTTTCTTGCATTTACACTAGCCATGATGCTACAACTTAAAATCTACAATATTAAAACCAACACAGCTAACCAACTAGAATTTCAAATTCAATCAAATTGAAATTAAATGAGTTGTAAAATATTTATAGTTTCATTCACATACGTTCAATATCCAAATAACTCAATCATTCCTACAACAATCAACTACACCTATTCTAAACTCATATTTTTGAAAGATGATTGTTGTGAAGGTCTAAGATAAACAATCCCCAATATTGTCTAATTTCCCGTATATTTGATTGAGTAAATGGAGACAGATTGGTGAATATTTGAAAAGATTAATTGAGGACAAGAAAATTAACTTAACAATTTCAAGTAAACAAAAAATAGTTAACATTTCTAAAATTGAATTTACCTCTTCGGTGAACTTAGTCAAGTCAACTGTGATAATATTGTACATATGTCTCAACACCTTAAAGGCACACAAGATAGAAGGGGATTGCCGATAGCTCTATAGAATAACATGACATTATGGAATTTATATTTAAAAAAAAATCTATCATCAAAATTATATAGAATAAAAACATATACTATTTACCTTTGGTGTTATGTATGTTGGATTAGTGGCATCACGTGGGGCCATGCCCAACCCAAATTGTTGGCCAATCTTCATAGCTCCATCATTAACATAATATAGTTAGTAACATAATCACAAACAATAATGTATTATAGAAACACATTTACTACTTACAGGACTTCTTCATTGTCGGATTACATTTATGATGCAAAGAGTATAAAAAGAGGATAGAATTGCCCTTCGTTAGAAACACCATCAATTACTAATGCGTACTATAAAAAATAAAATGACTTAAGCAAATATTGAATATACAAATTCAAACACATTTACTTACAGACTAAGAAATATGAAACGTAACATTTTTTGCCACCTTTACTAAGCCTTTGGTTCATGTATTGCTCCTTTACCTTTTTGATGGTCTCCTTATCATTAGTGAAATATGGGCAAACAAATTCATATGATTTGTCTTTATTTAAAAAAACCAACAATTAATGCAAAACCTATGATAATGCAAGCAAGTTAGCTCCAAGAGCCAAATTGTTTAATTTCATTTAAATTTACAATAATATATTTACATAATTTCAATTTGAATGTTCGCCATGGTTAGGTCAAAATCAATGAGAATCTGATTTAGATCTTCATTTTCAACAAAAATTTTATTGTTGTTTGTACTAACAAGATCGAGAATCATTGTAAAAGCTCTAGTATGAAACGATCGAGAATCAAGACAAATTAGTCCAATTACACAGACTTAACTCATGCAACTAGGTCTTTCGACCTACTTTATTGGACAATGGGATCTCTAGTTAAATAAAAAAAAATTTGTAAAACATGCTTAAATATAAAGAATGCATTTGAACAGAATCAAGGAAGAAACCAGAATCAAGGAAGAAATTCAAGAAGCATGTACAAAAAAATTTAGGGACTCCAGAATAGCAAAACAATGATGAGAGGTTCAAAAAAATCAAGAAATACTTACCTAATTCAAGACAAGGGAAGGAACCTTGGACACAATGAGGAAGCTTAAAGTAGGGCGGATTGATGGTTCAACAGCAACCACAAGCAAAGATTTAAGCTGCCCACATGAAAACTATTCAAAGAAAAAAAAATCAATGAATATTAATCTAGGCACAAGCATGACATAATTTAGAAAATAAAACCATAAAATAAAACAAAAATACCTTGGATTTGCGGTACGAGCACGGGATTGAAGACAAAGAATAGAGGGAGAAGGCGATAAAGCTAGAGGAGAAAAGCACGAAGCTCAATGGAGGCAACGAAGCTCTGTGAACACAAAAGATTCTGGGTTTCATGGTTTGAAGCCATTCCAGGTTTCGTATGAGCACAAGGGTTTTAGGGCATAAGCACGAGATTTTGAGTGTCAATTGCTCGAGTGCGATGAATTGATTCTGGTTCAAGGTAGCCATTTTGAAGTGATTCTAGGTTCTGAGTGCGAGAGGGACAATGATGGCCGGCGATGATGGAGATACGAACATGGGTTTTGAAAATAAGAAAGAATATCTAAACCAATTATAAAGAAAACGGTTTAGTTATTACTATCTACACTCGTTACTAAAAGAACCAGTTTAGATATATTAAAAAACAATTTTTTAAAAAATTTGAAACACATCTAAATCGGTTATACTTATAACCGGTTTAGTTATTTATATATAAATTGGTTGCTCAGGGGACCGGTTTAAATAGTATCTCATCCTTCCATTTATTTTTTTTTTTTAAAAAGATGTTTTAGGAACGTACTCTTTTCCAATTCCTCGAAGAACGGAGTTTTCAGTGAAAAAAATAAGGGACATATGCGCACGCTTGATTATTCAAGGTCCAAGCATGGATACGTGTGCGTGTGTGTTGCTGGATAACCAAATAGAAGATCAAAACATAAAAGACTAATTAAAGGCTCAGTTGGGGTCACATGAGATGTATAGCTATCAAATAGCAGACGCCAAGAAAACTATAAGAAGAAGCAGTCAGATTTAGATGCTCTTGTTGCTAAAGCCCAGCAAGACGCAGCCAAAACGTCATTTACCACTTTCCCATCTTCCACAGCCTTTTCCTCTGCTTCAGAGAAAACCCTGTGAATGCTTCAATTATATTATTATTCAACCATGAGTTTCAGCGACATTGATTGTATATGCGAACTCCCAAAAAATGATTGATGAATGAATATATAAGATTATCATGAACTCATCCTACAAACTGAACTTCAAGTGCCACATGTGGATCGTATATATCTATCTAGCTAGGCCAGGACGAACCATACCATACCACTGCTATTTTTGGAATTAAAAGGTCTCATCTTATTAAGATTTCCTTGACACAATAACAAAGCAAATCTAACAACTAATAATTGGGATCACAGCAGTGAAAGTGAAATCGTTAGGGTTTTATATGAAGAGTACTACAAAATTCAGACCATCCCATGTACAGGGAAGTTATTGCATCCACAGTAGGTAGGCTCCTCCAAAGTAACATCTTGAGGCAACATTATTTCTTGGAATTCGGAAACCATATTATGAGAGTAATTAAGCAGAGAGCTCATGTCTGCCCAACTGGTAATAGTACTTTCCGTTGAAGTCGTCGTGGCCGTCGATGACTCCATTACTCCACTGTAACTCTGAAACCCATCCATTTGCTGCGTCGTAGTACTGTTCACACAGCCCATCTCGCTCAAATCGTTGTTCGGGAAGTTTTCAATATTCTGAAACCCTTCAAATACGTTCGACGTACTACTGCCATTAGTGTTTATCACTGAGTTTTCAACTGGATATAGCTGGTCTTGCGGGAAGAAGAAGCAAGGGTCACATTCATATGGGTATGGAGGGAGATGATGATCATCAGGGGAGAATCTTCCACCTAGTTTAGTCAACAAGCTTCTTAGATTGTTGAGATCGTAGGGCTCTTGGAAGGAAGAAGAAGCACTTGCAGAAGGCTGATGATGCGTGCTGCACAAAGGACGAGTTTGGTTCATCAGCACCAAATTATTAGTCTGTCTCTTAAGTTCTTGCTTGAGGGTGTTAGCTCGGCGAGCTTGGGCTTCTTGTTGCTTACGCTGCTTCGCCATTAGCTTCTTCTTGAGCCTTGTGTTCCAGTAGTTCTTTATATCATTATCGGTTCTCCCTGGTAATTGCGCCGCTATTATAGACCACCTATGTACATTTATTATATGCACTGTTTATAACTATTCTCAGAAGGAAGAAAATATCATGATCTTTTGCGTGTGCGTGTGTTTAACATATTGAACAGTAGTACAGAATTATTAAGTCACTAATTAATTACCTGCTTCCAATATTAACATACAGGCTGCAAATTATGTTGTCTTCTTCTTCTGAGAAACCTCCATGCTTGATGTTGGGACGAAGATAATTCAACCATCTCAGACGACAGCTTTTCCCGCATCTCTTGAGCCCTATAAACCCCATATTAAGTGACAAACAAGCTTAGTTTGTATGGAATTTTGGGTTCTGAATCAACAAGGGCAAGAAAACTTGGTAATTAGTATGTGCATGTATTTATCAGAAATCAGAGGGCGATTTGTGAATTAACTGATACATACCTATCTTTTGAGGAAGCGCTATCCAGTTGCCGCCGGTGCCGTGCTGTTCGATGTAAGCTTTGAGTTTGGCGTCTTCCTCCGGCGACCATGGCCCTTTCTTCACGTTGGCTTTGTCGCAGCAAGGAGCCCTCCCCATCGATACTCTCTCTGTGTTCACTGATTGGATGTTGATTTGAGAGTATCGATCACTTTTAAAAAAAGCCAATCTCGTCGAGGACGATGATGGAGGTGGTGATGATGGTGATGGTGATGAAGGTGATGAAAATATTGTTGGTTATATATATATATATATATAAAGAGAAGGTGAGAGACAGAGTAAAAGCAGCCTGGAGAAGGTGAGGCAGCTGGGTTTCAAAAAGGTGAATATTATAAAAATAAAGTAAATGAAGGCGAAGCTTTATGTGTGAATTAAATAACGAACATATTGGACATGCCAGGGCAGGAGGCCGATGTTTTTCTAATTGTGTGTTTCTTAGAGTAGAATCTATTACATGGTTTATCTTTTTTTCCCACCTATCCCCTCTCTCTCTCTCTCATATATTAAATGCCGGTGGTACGAATTATTGTTGTGGAAGGGATTGATGAATGGATGATGATGATGATAAGACATGAGACATGCATGTGCATGCAATTAATGGGACCGAAGAGATGGTGGTTAAAGTGATCGCATTTGATATTATAAGTCTATTTTAACCTATTTTACCGGTAAAAAATTTTTTTTCCTCTCTCCTTTATAAATAAGATCGAGGAGTAGGTTTTGAAGCGTCGATTCATTATATAATACCTAGACCAAGCTATATATGACACTTCCACTATACTCATGACAAAGAAAGAATATTATGAAGACCTCATGCTTTGTCCTTCCACAAAAACCAAAAAGCCACTATTTTATTTACCCGTCAAAGTTAATTCATATTGTCCGTTGCCAGTTCATTTTTAGAAAAATCTCTCCTGCTCCTCCAGTTTTGGGTTGATGAAGAAAATTGTGGCTGCAAAACCATTACAAAATGTGTCTTGCTTACAGAATCCAGTTAACAGAGAGAGAGCTTTGCAAAGGAGTGAGGGAGAAAGAGAGAAGGCTAACTGAGAAGAAACAGTGAAAAAGCTGTGAGATTAATTAATACAAAGAAACAGATAATCAGTGAGTTACTATATTATATTTTTCGATAAACTCAAATTACAATATTATATGACATGCATGGTTTTCGTTACGGTAGGTGAACGGCCAACTTAGTGATCCTTATTTGAAGTCCTGAAGGTTAGAGAGGGAGAGAGGGAGAGAGGGAGAGAGATACCCCCCACTTTGAAACATATGCATGGATTTATGAATTTTGAAGAGAAAAAAGAGGTCTGAAAGTAAGCAACAATGGAATAGATAGCTTGGGAAATATGGAGCATTGATATAATTACTTAAGTACCATTACTAATCCTGAGGTTCAGATGCAGTTAAAAGGGATATGATGGATATCAACCACGTTCAACAAACATGACTAATAAAAGGTCCACTTGGTACCTTCTTAATTTCTTATGGGCAGCCCTTTTCATCACCAGAAGGGCCAAAATATAAAATTTAATTAATTAATTAATTAATATGCAAAATATATAACTCATGTAAGCTAATCACTTTTATCACATGTATTACGTCTCAGATTAAATCCTCTTATTCTCTGCCTCATCCTTTACTATCATGTAAATTTTATCAAACTTGAATGCGCTTTATATATTGGTATATAAAACATAAAATGAGCCTTATTTGTAAGGAGAATTTTAGTTAAGGACCACTATAGAGATTTAATTTTATGTGGGTCTAAAAAAAATTTGAAATTTAAATTTAATAAAGTTAAAAGAATTTTAATGGTAAAAAAATCAAAACCCCTTAATTTATTATACAGAATCACCACCTGTTATTAATTTTCTTACTACACTTGTTAATTTACTAATATCACTTATAAACTACACCTGTTTGTTAGACAATCAGTAACATTAATTATTAATTTGTTAATTTTAGTTGTTAATTTACTACATAAGTTATAAATTACAAGACATGTCATTAATTTATAATTGATGTTAGTAAATTATAAGGTCTGTCAATAATTTACAATTGATATTAATAAATTAACAAAGTTAATAATTTAATAATTGATGTTGCTACTTATGATTGAAACATTAATGTTAAGTCTTATATAATTATTGACATATTTACTCATGTAATTTGCAACTCATATTCATAAGTTAATAAGTAAAGTAAAAAAAGTAATAATTAGTGATTCCTTAGACTTATTTCCTCTTAATTAAATTGAAATTTTAGAATATTTTGGACCCACTTGAAATTAAATCTCTATAATGGTCTTTAACTGAAATTCTTCCTTATATATAACTTGTGATGAGTAGTGTAAGTTTGTGAATTGTTATGATTTTTACAAAATATAATGAATTTTGATCCTTGAAATTTACTTCAATTATATATCAGTTTAGTTTTTAAAATTTAATTTTCATTACCTAAACTCTTTAAAATTTTATAACCATATACATAATTAGACCTTACATTATTATTTCTCCTCCAAACCAAAAGAATATTGAATATGGTTTTAAAATTTTAGAAACTTGATTGATAGATATTGATGGATAAGGAATTGGTGGTTGGAGCAAGCATCATATACAAATTAAAATATATAAAGTAAAAATCATCACTAGCTCGATCTCTAACCACTTATATAATTTGAGAAAGAAATAATTTATGTTTATCACTGTCCAAAAAAGAAGAAAATGCACAATTTACCCGACTTCATGTCTTCGATATATATTTTAAAAATGGTAATGGAGAAAAAAGAAAACTTATTAAATTCATTATATGAAAACGTACGTATAGCAGTGGAATAAAGCTACAGGAGATCTTGCGACATTGTCATCGAATATTATGGTTGGAGCTGAACCCCAGCCACACGCAAGAAACTACTGAGAAAAAAATGGATATAAGAACTCATGACTCGATCATGAATGGAGCGTGAAGAGTAAAAGTCAAAGAAAACAAAAGCAAGTTTATCTTATCTATTCTTTCTTTCTTTCTTTTTTTGCCTTTAACTGTGTTTGTTAATTTGGTAATATATATGGGTCTCGTGCTTTGAAAATTGAAATTAGAGTGAAAAAGAGTTACTCAAACTTTTCAACAAGACGAAGGAAACGGTCTTCTTGGTAGGCCACCATCTCCATATATCACTCTACACAATAATGCTTGGGTAATCGTGGACCTAATACCTTTGAAAGAGTCTATTTTTAATTTTGACCGACTTTGAATGAAATACAGCTCATGTCCACTTTAATTTCCATACTATGTTCTTCTTAATTTTGTGCTTAATTACTACCTGCACTATATAATGTAACTTTTAGTCCTTTTAAATTTGTCTTAATTATCAATTTAGTTTTTAAGTTTAATTTTTATCTATTTAATTTCTTAAATTTGTCTTAATTATTGATTTAATTTTTATTATTTAAAGATAAAATAATGCAATTGAAATTTGCTAACATAGACAATAAAATATTGATGATAATATGTAAATTAATTAAATGAAGTATAGTTATTTATGTAGGAAAAAGGATTAAAATTTGAAAAAAAAAGCAATCAAAGACTTCTATATAAAATTTTTATTAATCAAGAATTAGTTGTTGTTATGATCCAAATGGATGCTTATCAATTTAAATTAGTTTTTTTTTTCAACAAGTATCCATTTGAGTTTTGATAATAATTTATTTTAAATTAACAATAGTCCATTCGGGTTTATTAACTGATATAAATTTCATATGAAGATTTTTAATTGCTACTTTTCCTTAAAAATTTAAAAAAAATGACGAACAGGATGCATCATAAAGAGCTAGATTGAAGGATAATTTATTCTCATTTATCTACATATACATGCTAAGGTAGCAACACACTTTGCACATTAGATTAATTTAAAAGTTAACTTATATTTTAAAATTTACTCTCTTCGTTTAAAAATATAAGGCATTTTTCAAGAGTTAGATATTAATATAAGACATTTTTAACATTTTAAGATGTAATTAATATTTTTTTTTGAAATATGCCCTTAATAAATGAATCATTTTATATTTATTTGTAAATAAAATATCCTATTAAATAAGAATAAATATAGAAAGATAATGTTAGTTTGAAAACAATTAACTAATTTATTAGAGATAGTATTTAATTAAAAATACCTTATATTTTTTTAAAGGAGGAAGCAAATGATTAACGTGATAATTTAAAATGAGAGACTAAATTGATAAAAATTAAACTAAAAAGATCAAATTAATAATGATACAAATTTAAAGGATTAAAAACTACATTCTCCGAAAGTAATTATTATTCAAAGTGACCATGCATATTTTTGAAATAAAACTAAAACTAAAAAATCATTTTTGAAATAATGAAAGTATTTAACTATATATGAACCACATATGTGTATATTAATAAAAATTAGTTTCTTGTTTGTATTATACAAATTATTTTTTACTTAGACGGAATAGTTCGATTAAAATGATAATCATTTTAAAATTGATGGAGTATTAACTATTAAGCTCTTGTTAATAAAATTGGTGACTTGTTGACTTGTTTTTCAGTTATATTATTAAGTTACAGATTTTTTTTTTCCTTGTTCACCAATATTTGGAATAGTTGGCCGCCAGGTTAATATAATTGGTCGCTTGATTTTTCTTAAATTTATTTAAGAAATGGCCGTCTAAGTACAATACTAGTCAGTCATTTAAGCATCGTCATCGTACCGTGGCGGATGCTTCTTAAAATTAATTGGGTCGTCTTGATAATTTTCGACCATGTGGTGCTTTTCTTCCCCCTTTCTTCGATTAAATTTCTAGAACATTGTCTTGGTCAAAGAACAGTAAAACGTAAGTACTCTGTTGTAACGTTGCTTTTACTGGTCAATAATTGCATTAATCACTCACAAAAGATGTGACTTTTTCAATAATGACATCAAGTTTACGTGAAGGTGTGACAGAAAGAAGGGAAAAAAAAAAATGGGATAATGTCTAAAATGATTTGACACCAGACAAGAAGTTAGACCAATACTCGTCAAAATTCAAACTTTCACTTATCAAATATTCAATTATTTTAAAATCTCTTCATTGATATTCACCTTAAAAGGTTTTGCCAATTGTGAGATTTTATAGTGATAAAAGAAGCCTCACATCAAATGAAATTAAATTGAAGTAGAGATATACAAGTAAAAATGACTTCTAAATTTAATATCTTAAAATTTTGTGTTAAAATATGATGTCTTACTTTTTATGTGTTCTTCTTCCTCTTTTCAAGGTGCTTCTCAGGTTGAACAAGTAGCATCAAAGCCTCCCTCTGATAAGGGATCTAGAATGAGGATGAACTCACTTTTCTCTATAAAATAGGCGGACGACTTTGTGTTGAGTAGTATAACAAAACGTGAAAAGGGGGAAAGTCTCATGATGGAACTCATTAATCTTGAAAAACACAGAGTTACTTAACATATATAGCCTATCACTTCTTTTTTTGGGCCAAATATTGTCTATTACTTCCTGAACTGTTATATTGAGAAAACGCTCAAAATTCAAAATTCTGAAGTTATTCCACTCGTAGCTTACTTCCCTTGCGTTGAGGCTTTAAAATGATAAGGTACTAAAATAAGGAAATTTTGCAAAAATAACTCATGTTATAAAACTAAATTAAATAAACAGCTCAATATTTATTATATTTTATATTATAGTCAATTTATTATACTTATTAATGATATATTGTTGTATATCAATGATAATTCCTTTATAAATTTTTAAAATTTCAATAATAAATTTTTTATATATCAATGTGAACTGACTATATTCTCAAATTTTTAAAAATTTGGTCCATATTTTTTGGGTGTAACTATTTTTTTGGTCACTGGACCAATTTATCCCCAAAATAAAACATTTGATATGGGGATGATAGCTTAACCGACAATTCAAGAAACCTTTCAATTTTTTTTTTATTTCTTTCATTTTTTTGTTTTTGGATAGAGAAAGGGGCCAGAGCCCAAATACAAAAAAATTGAGAAAATTCAGGGGATTTAGATCCCATACAATCCTTTTGCACCAAGTCCCTCAGAAATGGGGAAGCTGAATCAAAAAGAGCATAGAAGACCTCATATTAATTTTAGTAGAACTTGGCTACGACTTGATGTTCTGGGCCTCAAATACGATGTGGTTTGAATCTTTTGGGAATTTTGTATTAATTTTTATTGACTTAAAATAATATTTAAAAAACTATAGGGAGCTCATACATTTCTACTCTCTTTTTCTCTAAGTTTTAGTTTTACATTTAGTTTGCATGTGGGCAGAAATTTCTTTGGTTGACTGTTTATTCTTTCTGAGAAGAAATGCATTCTTTTTTAAAGCATTTCCAGATTCAAAATAATTAATAAAAAGAAATTATTTATTTAGTTCATGCAGTTTTGATCCAGTTATGATTTTATCCTTGAATGTCAACTTGATGCAACTTAATCCTTCAAATTTTAGCCATTTAATCCATTCGAAAAGCATTTTATGACTCAGTTACAGCAATTGGAATTGCATATATTACTATAGACCATCAGTTTTATTGGGGGAAAAAAATACACAAAGAAAGCAACGCTAGTTGCAGAAAAGTTAGATGCGTGACTGCCTAAACTTAAGCTTTAAAGAAAAAACAGGCCCCTAACTCTATGAACAAGCCAACATTACTGACAAGAGAAGGTAAAGGTATAAGAGTAGACAAGGATGAAACCAGCGATTCAAAAAGATATTGAACCAAACCTGAAGGTAAGGGTAACAATCACTACTACCAACCAGGAAAATTTCAGACTGCAATGAGCTACATGGTTGATACATCAAATGATGATGGAGAAGTGATATGATATGAAAGATGAACAACTTGTGACGCTCGGATTGTTATTTTGGCAAAGGATGCATTCTGTAAAATGGCTATCTCAGCTCAACGGTCCATTTTTTCTCATCCTCTATGAGACCCATCTGCAATTTTGTAAGAACAGTATATAGTTTCTGTGATACAGCTCCAACACCACCTTTTCCATATGATACTCTGCAAACATTAAACAACTACCGTTAATTACTAATTCTCTCCCTCTTTTTTTTTTTTTCCCTTTTATCCTTCTCCACAATTCCGATATAAGTATTTTTGTCATCCTCACATCATCCCGCCATGCTTGTTAGCAATGTCCACTTAGAAACTCTAATCAAATTGCGCAATCAAATAGAATTGATATTCATGAAAATTGAGTGGTGAATGAATGATGCATGCTCCATGTGAAAAAGCAAGAGATGAATTCAATACCCAAAGTGTACTTTCTTCAGAAAACAGAAGCACATATTAGTAAATTTCGTTTGCTTAGATGCAGTTTATCAGATATTTGTCATGAGGTTCTTCAAAGAAAACAATGACATGAGAACAAGAAAAGTATTCAATACACAGTATGCATCATATAGAATCACAAGTAGCTTTTTTGAGTTACTTAGATGCAGCTTATTGGGTATATGCTATTTATGTTCTTCAAAAAAAAAAAAAAACACGTGGACAGTATTTACCAACTCAGCAACAAATTATTGGCTCCATCAAAAGGTTTCCACGTCATAATTTAACTATAAAACCTAATAGCAAGTTTCTAAATAGCCGTATCAGTTCCGTTCCTCTTTGTTTCCCGTTACTAATTTTCATGCTCAGCGATGCATGTGAACCTGTTTGTTAAATGACTTAAATGCACCGTTGTAAATTGTTCAGTGTGGCTAAAACTTACCTCTTGCCAAGATATGTAACACTTCCTACGGGTGACACAACCACGGCTGTCCCAGTGCAGAAGACTTCATCAGCATCAAACAATTCATCTACTGATACTAGTCGCTCCTCAACCTGCATACATCAGGGATCATTTGGAAATGAATAATACCTCGGCACTTTTCGCTCGTGATAATAGAAAACTCACAAGCTTCAGGCTCGTGCTAATATCAAAGTAGGAAGTCTAACAAAGTCTACTATAGAGGTATTCATAGCAAGATTGCACCCTAAGTGGATTTGGACAACCTCCTGGTAGGCTCATGACAAGGAAATGAAAGGGCACATGGAGGTAGGGGAGAAAGAGGAGTGATCAATACCTAAGTTGCAGATGGTCAAGAGTTACCCCATAGTTGTTAGGAAAGACTTTACATCCCAAAACAATAAGTAGACTTTTGAAGCACCGATAGCAATCATTACAGTCAAATCAAGATTCTCAACAAAGTGAATGAGCAGAGAAAGAGGAAAGTCACTATAGATGACTTCTCAGGGAATTAGATCCCAAGATGTAAAGTTTTAAATTTCAGGTAACAAGTATCAGAAACTAGAGTGGAACTCTAGTAGCATGTACGTTATTAATCATTCAATTTACAGAAGAAAATTTAAAGTTAGGAAAGATCTACAATTCTCTCATAACAAATATATTTCAACAAGCAGGTCTAGATTAATCACTTGTCCGAGTATAACATACGCATCATTGATTTTTGCAGATTTTAATAGCAAAGCCAAGCTATGTAAGAAATAAAATAGCAAAAATGTTAGGTCTCAAACAGAAAACATATATCAATGATCCCTTCCACTGAATCCAATACCTGGAAACCTTCGCTATGAGCGACATCAATTATACTTTTACGAGTGATGCCTGGTAGGATAGTACCTCTAATAGCAGGAGTCGAAATAACATTGCCCTGCAAGAACATGGAAACAAGGCCAGCATAATGTAGTCAGCTCAAGTAAAATATGAAGGAGGACATCGGGCAAAGTAGCAGTAACAAAAGATAGAATTGCTCAAATGAATTAACATTGGAACAGAGTACGAAAACATTGTAAAATACTGCAAGATTGAAAAAATTTAGAATCGTGAACATGATAATTGTATGCAATTACAGTTTTATTTATTAGCACAAAAGAGGCCTAGGATAAACTCAGCAGTAGTTACATATTAGGAAGAGATTCTGAGGGCATCATCTTACATAAAAAGGTTTAAGTATTGTGGTTAAAAATTGTCTATCCAATGTACATGTCATATTGTAATTCTCTATTGAGCAAGGTGATGGGCAAATGGCACATCATATATGATTGAGTCCAGTACCTTGACAACAAAAATGTTGCAGGAAGAAACCTCTTCCAAATATTTTTTATGCACACAGTCAAGGTATAAAACATCAGAGTAGCCTTTCTCTTTTGCTACAGCTTGAGCCCTCAGCACCTGGAAAAAAAGATCACAAATGTGCACATGCACACACATAGAATAAGTGAGGAAAAAATTTAAAAAACAAAAATAAAACAACAGACAGAAAGAAAGAAAGATTACAGCATGCTAGTTAGCAAGAAATGGGAGATCAAAACTTACCAAGAACCAAAGATTACTTAAGTCAACCCTCCAAAATGAATGTGACAAAGGTCAAATCAAAGTTCTTTAATTTAATAGTTTTACTCTGATTAAAATTACAAAGATGAGGAATTTTGGAACTCTGGAATTTTAAAGCGAGCGGAAGAGGGAATCTGACACCAAATTTAAGAAAAAGGAAAAGAAACAGAAAAGGGATTGCAAGGATGGCTTACTGCAGCATAGTTTCCTATGGTCTTCACACCTCCAGTGCCCCCAGGAGTAGCTCGGTGGAATTCATTCTCAACAATCAAATTGATAGGTGCCAAACCTTCCTGTCATGATATTTATACTCTAAATTTTTAAAAGGCATGTAAGATAAGTAATCATTACAATTTTAAAACAAATGGCCATAGAATAAGTAGAAGATAAAACGTGTATAGGTAAAACAGTCAGCAGGCCTAGATATACTACTGATGACATCAACCCATTCAATTTTCTGTTTTCTTTTTTTTCTTTTTTAAAGATTCAACCTCTTCAGCCACATCATGACATCAACAAATAACATAAATGCTATTATTCTTACTACTGATGCATCCCATTCTTTACACTATTCACAACCCCTAAACATTAAGCCATTCTGGACATCATCCCCCAAAAGTTATGTCACTTTAAGATTCTAATTCAAAGTACAAGATAACCTTTTCATTTCGTTATTTATATACACAAAGAATATAATGAAAACTGATTCAAACAAAAGGAAAATATGCCATATTCATAAGTAGCAATAAACACTTCAAGTGCTGTGAAAAGTATGGAACACCTAACCTTGAAGTAGTTTCCAACCGGTGAAACATATATTAGAAAGGTATATTCTGGAGCAGGTGCAAGACCAAGTACAGCTCCCGTTCCCATTAGCAATGGTCTAATATACAAGGAACCTTTACCTGGAGGAGGAACCTGAAGCAAAATTTTCACTGATGAATCTAACATTGAGCATAAAGCCACAAACTATAAATTGTTATATGGCAATGATAGAATTGTATGCTACCCAACGTTTGTTTGCTATGACAGTAGCTTTTACAGCTTCCACAAACTGCTCTACAGTAGGCGATGGCATGCACATCCGCTCAGCACCAATCTTCATCCGCACAGCATTTTCCTCTGGACGAAAGAGGAGTACATTCCCATCTTGTTTACGGTAAGCTTTTAAACCTTCAAATAATCCCTATAATAGACAATAGTGAAGAAGAGAAGTAGATTCTTGACCAAGACCAAATAAACATAACATGAAGAAATCAGATTCAAATAGATAGGATACTAATTAGACTTCAATTACAGTCACAGATTATACAATTACCTAACAGATTAAGTGCACCATTGTTCCTGCAACAAGTTTTTTCTAGTTTTCGTTATTCACAACCAACATAAGGAAAAAATTATTTTAAAAAGCCATTGCAGTTGAAAATCAAAGCCTCATGTTTCTTAATATAGAAACCAAATTTAGTATTAGAACCACATCTGGTGTAATACCCCCAGCCAGGTTTTTGAAAAGACTAGAAGTTCTATATATAGTTAAATTCAGATAAGAAGGAAAATAATTTCCATGAGATAAAGTAACTACTCAGCCAAATTACTAAGGTTCATCAGTCAGGTTCTTACACAGATGAAACAGACCTACACAATTATTCACTGGTGCACATGGGCCAACATTGAAGGACATAAAAGTCACAATAAACACCACGAATGACTTTGAAAACTCAAAAATTTCTCATGAAATAACTTCAGCATTAGCATTTACCAGAACTTTGACATATTAAAGGATATATATACTATCCCAAAACGCTTTGCATGAACATAATTTAGTGCGCAAATAAAAAACTAACCTGCCCATAATTTAAAACTCCAGCTGAGGGGCTCATTTCAATGTTCCCAAAGCGCTGTAATTCGCCTTTAGAAAAGCTTCCATCTTTATTACATTTCATTATATACATATAGTCGGTAGGTTGGAGACCAAATCCAATGCTCTCCCAGTCTACGTCGGCAATATCAATTGTTCCACTGCGACGTTCGCAAAAGCACCGCAAGACACAAACCAAGCGATGTATGAAAATAATTGTATCAAGTGATAAATCTTCCTAAGGATCATCGAGCAATTAGAGACATAATTATGTGCAATGAACGGCGTATACTGTATTTGCATGGTCCGCATAATTTCCCTCCCATCCAGTAGCCCCAAATTAATTACAGATGAAAGCAGAGCGAAACAGGCAAGCAACTGAATTATCATTCTTAGCAAATAAGTCAATTTGTTTTCAGTTGTTAAAGTTACAGAATATATGCATTTCCAATCGATCGTTTTAGAACTAAAATGTAAGAAGAGCTAACCCTTGAAGAAAGCATATCTCAGTCGAAAGATAAGGTTTTTATGGACATAAGCAGTGAGAAGTACTAGCATACCAAATATACAAACGCAAACAAGACCGGTTCAATGGGGGAAAAAACCAAATAAAATCAGTATTAGAGCAAAAAAATAGTAATATAATGTACCGACCTGTGGGCATCGGATAGAGAAGCATAACACCTTAGAGGAGAAGCAGCTCGCAGAACACTCTGAGAAGCAAAAGGGAACTGCTCTTGGAGCTGCAAACATGGGTTCAAAGTGAACGATATGTTGCAACGAAGAATAAGAGTAATAACCTGTGATCGAGATTTCGTGGAGTAAGGAACGAGAAGCGAAGAAAAGTGAGTACCGTGAGAGAGAGAAGCGAAGAAGAGTTGAGCTTGGCGAAGGGCTGAGGAGGGAACGCAGGAGGGTGGCGAGAGGGGTAGATCGGGTAAGTCGGTACAATGCCCGTCAGCACGGCGCTAGTCTCCATCTGTGTGTGTGAGAGTCTCTGGAACGAAGTCAAATCCGAAAGCAACGAGGAAGAAGAGCCAGCGCACGGCGGCCTGGTCTCTGCCTCACGCTCACTATTGTATTGGCTATTGGTATGGAGTTGGGTGGATGGAGAATGACATATACGTGAAACATGATTTAATTCAATTTAAATCTTAAAATATTAAATTTTAAAAATTTATAAATTTAATTTTTAATTTGATAATTTTATTATGATTAATTTATAATTTATTTTTAAAATTTTAACATGATTGAAAAATAAATAAATTTTTTATTAAAAATAAAAATATAAGTTATAAATTTATTATAATAAAATTAAAAATTAAAAGTTAAATTTTTAAATCTTTAAAACTTGATGTTTTAAGATTTAATGTAAATTAATTAATTTCCTCAGAATATATCCGTCATTCTTCTTAGGTGAATGAACCTCCCTCGAGTCTCAATATTTATTTTTAAAAATGATGACTTCTTTTTTTTTTTTTGCCGACTTTTAAAAAGTCGACTTTTAATGCATTGTACTGTAATATTGTAAGATAAGAGTACTATAATTCATAATTATAAGATGTGACTTGTTTTTTAAATTTCGTATAATGCATATGATGGAATGTTAGTCTTATATTATTTATTAATCTCCATATAACTCATTTCAACTGGACTCTATTCAATTTTATTTTTACTTTTTTATAGTATTACCATTTTATTGGCTTTAATTTTTCTTGCTTGACTTTTTATAAAGTAATATAAAATAAATAAGATTTTAAACAATCTCAAGTTATTATCTTCATTGAATAAAATAAATATATCTAGTTTTGAAAGACATAAAAAAATTAAAAGATACAGGGAAGTAAAAACTTGAAGATATTGTGGGTGGTTCTTGAAAGACTTTTGTGCATCCGTACGCTCTCAAACTTACATAGTGCCTTCCACTAAAATTAAGGTCAATCAGCAATTGAAGAATTATATTTGTTGATACTATATTTTTACCAAAATACTATTTATAATATTATTCATTAACAAATGAATAGTACTAAAAATAAATAACGCTTATATATGTCAGAATATTGGGGTTTTTTTTTTTGGGGGGGGGGGGAGCTCAAAGATAATAAATGGCTGACTGTTTTTGTAAGGTAGGTATTAATGATATTTCTTGCTGAAGGAATGAATTTCTTTCCACTAGTAAAAAAAAAATATTTCCTCTAAAAGGTTAAATATTTAACAATATAAAATATTTTTAATCTGTGTAAATATTATTTTTTAAAAAGTATTTCTATTAAATAAATTACTTTATACTTATTTTAAAGTAAAATAATATATTAAATAAAAATAAAAAAGATTAATTTAAAAATAAGTAAATATTTTATTAAAAAGTAACATTTAATTAAAAATATTTTATATTTTTAAATGGATGGAGCAATAAATTGCTGTGCAATGACTTTTTAACCTTGAAATTTGGGAAATTAACGTTTTGGGATTTTAAATTGTGACATTTAATGTTGGAAAAATAATAATGAAGGATTGTTAGAAAAAATTTATACCAATTAAAAATTAATTATTGTTAAAAATTAAATAAAAAAATTTTAAATGAACTATTATTAATTTAAAATAAGTTGTTATTAAAACTTGAATTTATATTTATTGGTAAAAGACTAACCTAAATTGATAAGTATTTATTCAAATTTTGACTATAAGTAATTCTTAACTAATATAAATTTTCTCTAACAGTCTTTAGTTGATTTTTTTTTATTTTTTTTACAGGGACAAAGTCAATCAGTCTTTTTTAATTTATGACAAAATTAAAAAAAAATCATGTGACATGTACCTCGAAGGCTCGAACAAAGCACAACTTTGCAAAACCATAGACATTAATATCGATCAGCAAATAATTAATTTATTATAATCTACTAAGTTTTTTTTTATGAACAGTCATAGAAATGTTTAATTGCAAAGTTAAGCCAAAATTTTACTTTCCTTGTCCTAAATTATAAGATATGTTTAAATAAAATTACACATATCAATAAAACTCATTTAATACACCTTACAACCTGATTTTTTTAAAATAAAAATATAAAATTTTAAAAATACTCTTCATTTAGTGCTCCTTTATTAAAAAAATTATTAAAAAAGGAGGATATATAAGAAAAAAAATATTAATAAAATATTATTAATGAAATTTAATTTTGTCATAGTATCTTACATTGTGGGATATTAAATTTTTTTAAAAAATATCTTATAATTTAAAATGAAGGTAATGATATAATGTTAAAAAATGAAGTATTATTTTCTTTATATCAAAATTCCTCCGAAAGATTTCAAAAAAAAAAAAATCCTTCCAGGTCCTTTTCAAAAGGTATATGTGGTTTCGACGGAGAGGGTCCTCTCTCCTTTCTATACTCAATGATTGGATTATCTCTAAACAGGTGAGATTTAACATCTTACAAAAATATTATTATAATATTTTTTCAGTCCTTAATATAAAATCAGAGACGGATCTACAGGGGTCAAGGGCCCTCCCCCCCCCCCCAATGGATTGCATGGCTTTGGTAGAAATTTTATCTTTTCTTTGCAAAATAATTTAAACTAGATTTTAGCCCCCCCTTCTTATTTTATTTTCAGTTTAGCCCCCCCAATCATGAAAGTCCAGATCCTTCCCTGTATATAATATTTTTTTTTTACTGGCGAATATTAGTGAAAAATGTAGGACACTCTGTAAAAAGTAAGTAGCATTAATGTTATTTCATAAATGCTCTTATTAATTATACCGTAGATAGATATTATATAAGAAAAAAAAATCAAAAGATAATTAAAATGTATTGATTTTAATTGAAAGATAATCATAAAAAGTAATAAAATTTTTTTTATTATTTCAATGATACCAAGCAATTTTAACTACTTTAAATAGTTAAAGGGTAGGATTTATGTATTTAACCTTATATACTTAATATACTTATATCTAATCAAATCATAATAAGTGAATCTTAATATGTTAATAAAATTAATAACAAGAATTTATTATAAAATAAATAATCTATAAAAGATCCATATAACTTGATTTAATTAAAAACAAGATTATTAAGTATATTAATAAGTCTAAATATATAAATTTTTTCATATGTCATATATTTTGAGCCAATAAAAATATTAAATGCCAGTGACAAATTGTCTCAGTGATAATGCCACTTCCTTGTGAACCTAAGATCCAGGTCTGGACCATGCTTTGACATGCGATAGCGGGCATTGTGTTAAATTGATTACTTTTGAAAAAGAATAAAGGGCGCAAAAAAAAAAAAAATAAAGGGCCTTGGATTCAAAAAGAAAGAAGGAGAAGAAGGAGAAAGTATTAAATAACAGAAAATATATAAATAGAATTAAATTGTTAAAATTTAACAAAAATAATTCATGGCTAAAGATAAAAAGTAAAAAAAAAAGATATTTTATAAAATATTTTCATAAATTTTTTTGTCTGTGAAAAAATTTAAAAGTTATTTATCTATTTAGATAATAAAACTTTTAGTCTCAGAAATTTATTTCAATTATCAATTTAATTCTTCAAAGTTAATTTTTATCAATTTGATTCTTTAAGCTTGCATAAACTATCGATTTAGTCTTTATTATTTATATAGGAGCTAACACTATGAAAATTCTGCTGTCACAAATAATAGGATCTTGATACCGGTTATATAAATTATTGAAAAAAAGCGTAACTACTTAGATGGAAACAAAACATACTCAAAAAATTAAAAAAAAAAAAAAGAATAAAACGTAGCGTGAGGGACTAAATGAGTAAAAGTTAAACAAATTTAAGAGTTAATTTATTCTTATTTAACTATATATATACAGAATTCATCAAAATGCTTCATATGTCAAATTAATTTGAGTCAATTTTTTTAAAAAAAATATAAAGGATTAATAAGATAATTTAAGAAAATGTAAGAAATTAAATTGATAAAAATTAAATTTAAAAAAATTAAATTGATAATTTAATCAAACTTGAAAAATTAAAAAAATTTCATTATCTCTGTCCAGTTTTTTATTATTTTAATTAATATTATTATTATAAAATATTGAATCTCAGCCCTTAAAATTAGGTGACCCGATGGTGGAAATACGAGGAGAGGTTGCAAGGATTTTCATTTTTTTAAAAAAATAAAAATAAAACACATATAACTTAAGAAATTCTTTTTGTTTTTTTTGTTTTTTTTCTTTTGGGCCAGGTATCAGTTAAGTAGAAGTTCTGATTTCAGAATTAATTACCAAAACCAATTTTTTTCATAGATTGTCTCGCATAATACCCTTTGCCTGGATTGACCAATTTTATTTATTTTTTTTTTCTCGGTGAACCGCTTAACCCATGATTAAATTCCCACGTTAGGGGCGAGCTCATTTTTTAACAAAAAAATAGTACAGAAGAAAGAAACGTGGCAGAAGATAAAGTCATAACAACCCCGCCAAAGTCGTAGCTGAGGATCAATAAAATCCAACATAGATTCCGATGTAACCTCAGACTGTATTTTTTATATCATGTGTCTTTTGAACAAGTTTGTTAGCACATCTTCTTTTTTCAAAAAAGTGACTGCATGTGGCCAACAAACACCGCGTGATAAGCTTAGGGGTGAACTATTTGCTTGCACAATGTAGTGAAGGAAATCACAATACAAGAAAAAACATTTATATATATATATAACAAAAATAGTGTTTTGCTCAAAAACTATAGAACAAAAATAGTGATCACGGGCATTTACTAAAGAGCAAAAACACAACACTATTATAAACATAACAGCTACACTGTGACTTCGTCGTTGGGTCAGAAACACATTAGAATTTCAAAATGACAAACAAGACCACGACGCAAACTCAATCAAAGCCAACACGCTGTGTTACAATAACAAGGTGCTCTTTCAAAAGCCAGAGCATCTCCTTTTCCTCCCAATATTTTTTTTATTTTTCTGTTCCAAACCTCACTACATTTCTTTTCACTCTCCTCTTCTCGAACTGCAATGCATTCCCATTATAACTAAAATATCACTAGCCTACCAACCATAATTGCATTTGCTCACATAAGATGAGGACAAAGCATTAATATTTACCATAGATGACAACAAAAGAAGAACCCCCCTTTCAAATCTCCTTCAAATCAAATGCCCTGGATTCAAGAAGAATGAACCTAATCAACATGGGATATTTCAAAATGCATCATTATCCGTAAAGAAAGCAAAGGCAGATATAACTGACAGAGGATTGTCCAAGAAAACAGTATTGACGCACCTTATACACACAATATACTTCTATTCTAACAACCTCAATTTTCAGTACCAGTCACCATTTCCATTCGCTACAATTCCTGTTCACAGTCAAACAACTGCATAAACATCTGAGCAGAACTAGAGCAGGAAGAGAAACAAATGAAAACAATAAATATTGGAAAGAAGAGATGATGATGCATAAAGTTTCAATCTAGCAGGGGGTTGATGCTTTTACTTTAACCAGACTACAAGAGTCCTAGGGTGTCAACACGCTGGTCAACAACAATTTTCTATCAAATGGAATAGCATAGCATCATGCTGAAACAACTGTTCAAAGTCCAAAGCACAAAATATTGAACAACCTTAAGCAAGATTGTGGTGTTTTCATTAGTGATGTTGTAGCATTAACGTCCATCAGGCTTGAGCTTAGCGCTTAGCTCCAAAAAGTTCGTAGATGAGCAAAATTGAAGTTATTCAAGTTACTAGACTAAAAGTATACGGCAGCATGATCCAGCCCCTAACTGAAACTAGTCTTCAGGTCATACCAGACTTCAGGGTTAAGCAGATTTTGGAATTATACCACAGAAGACACAAGTATTTTCAGTATAAAAGTAAAAGCTCAAACATGACCAAAGAAAGTACACTGAGCTCGACAAAACACATAACAAGTGTGAGACTGTCACATTGACAACACTTATTAACCTCAAGTAGAAAAATTTCCATCCTGGATTCCCAGTGACAGCATCGGCAAAATACCTTTTTTTATTTAACTCAATAATTTTTCCAAGTTCTAAAAATAAGATGCAGCAACTTGAGCAACACAACTTAAAAAGTGTTTTAATATCAATTTTCATACAGATAAAACGTTAGAACCCTATTGCAAGGTTCCTATCAGACATTTCAAGAGACATTCTACAAGGAATCACTGTAAGAAATTCGACACAGGCACAGGCAATATCTAAAGAAAAAGAACATAGACAACGTTGAAAATGCAAGTTTCTACCTAGCAGTGATCGGTAACTTGTCCAGTGTTTTCTTTGCAAATTTCTTCTGTTTTTCCCAACACACTTGAACCAGAATGTAAAATATCTATGTCTTCGGTTTGAGAATTTGAACGATCATTCACTATCCGATGAAGACCACCTTGATTCACTTCTGATTTATGATTCTCTATACAAACCTGTGTTCCTTGGCTGGGGATATTAACGGCATCAACTTTCTCACGGATAACTTCTGAAAAATGTATCACCTTATCTACCATTACTATATGAGTATCCTTTGAGTTCCCTTGTGATTCATGTGAGGATGGCAGCACCAGCTGGGCCTTTGTTACATCTGATTGAGTTGAAATCACGCTGAAAAGATCATTAACTTATTGAATCAGTAGTTCAACGAGACTACATTTACATAAAATATGAATACGACCTATAATATTGACACAAAAACAATTCATAGGGCCAGAATTATACCTACAGGAAATGCTCTGATCTAGAGGATCATCAGTCACAGGTTCTTCTGGTCTCAGTTTCTTATTCTTCCTCAGATCTACAAGGGAATCAACGTTAGTAGCAGAATTCCCGCTACCTCTTTTACGTCTACTCACACGACGTCCATCCTGGAATGAAGGAACAGATTTTACATTCACATCTTCATTAATTTTAGATTCAAAATGACTTGCCCTGCTCATATCTTCAGCAATTGGGGGTACTTCTACAATCACTTTTGGTTCTCCAAGAGAAAACCTCATTTCTTCTCTCTCATTATGATCACCAAGTGGTTTGTTATTTTCTAAGAGCTTCTGCTTACGGCCATCATGATACGAACCAGAAACCAGAGGTTTATCCTTGTCTTCTGTTGGAGATTGATCAGGATGAGATCTGAAAAATAGTTCAGTGCACCTCTTGACCCATGAAAACCGAACAGGGCTAGAAGAAGAAACAGATGCTGACTTCTGTACAGCTGGAGTTTTTAACTCATTGCTGAAACCATCACCTTGCATAAGATTTTGCTGCTTCAAATTTTTCAGTGCAGAGATCTTCTGCTGGTTAGCCTCCATATCAGATTTTAGCATTTCAACAATCGCAAGATCATCGGAGGCAATTTTCAAATCCTCCAACTTTTTCAATTCTTCAATCTGAGAATTAATTCGGATTCTATCAGCATGCAATAGCTCTCTCTGTTTTTGCAGTTTATCACTTTGAACCTTGAGTTCCTCAATGCAATTATTTAATTCAGCCCACTCCCTATTTCTCAGTTCACGATCCAAGTTTATTTCTGTTCGCTCATCATGAAGCCTTTTCAGCTCAGAGGAAACATGTTCCATCTCCTTTTTTGCTTTCTCCTCAAGAGCACTAACGTATTGGAGTTTATTTTTTGTCTCTTCATCAAAAGATTTTTCTCTTTCCTTCAAGTAACTTTCCACTTCTTCACGCCTCTTCTCCACTAGGTTATTCAACTCCTTCTTTTGCATCTCAATGTCCTTTAAGAAATCTGCCCGCTCTTGCTGCATCTTGCAAAACCACTCAGCATGTTCATGTGCCATCTTGTTCATGAATTCTTCTCGCTCACGGGCAAGTGACTCTAAGTCTCTGCTGTACTGCTCATGCATTTCATTTTTTTCTTGTCGTAGCTTTTCACGTTCATCCTTAATAAACCTTGAAACTGACATCTTTTCTTCTGCTAAGAATTCTGCTTCTTTCACCAGCTCTTCCTTTTTTTCATCAAGGAGTTCCCACTCAGCTTCAAACTTTGCCTTCTCAACTTTCAGCCTATCTGCCTCAGCTATTAGCTCTGACTTCAAATTTCTTACAAGGTCAAGCTCTTCCTTTAGTTTAACTTCCAAAACTGACAAGTCATCTTTTTCAGTTTTCATGGCCTCTAATCTCTCTTTTGCATGATCAACTTGCCTTCTTTTACTCTCCAATGAATCCAAAGACTTCACAAGATCTTCCTTTGTTTTGCCAATCGCTTCTTTCTCCTTATCTAAAAGGGTTTTCTTTGACTCAAACTCATTCTCAGCAGCTCTCAGCTTTTGATCTCTTTCTTCTAGAACAATCGACAACTCCCCAAGGTCCTTCTCCTTCTCCTCCAAAGATCTTGACAGAATTTCCAACTCATGCTCCTTTTCCTGGATTTGGTCCTCTCGTTGCTTTAGGTCAACTTCCTTCAATTCCCAGGCCCGTCTCTTAGTCTCAATCTCATTTTCAACTGATTTACGCAGCAATTGTAGCTCAGCTTCAAAATCACATTTCCTTGACAGTAATGTAGCTTCCTGATCAGCTATAACTTTCTGAACTTCATCCTAGAAGATCAACCAAAAAGCCACAAGAAATAATTATAAGAATATACAACTCATCCTACAGAATACTGAATGCATCCCCATCCACATAATCCATTCTGTTTATCAACAATAATGAATTAGGGAAGAACATACTGATTCTTTGCTGGCAAGCTTCACTTGATAGCTAACCAACTCCTGCTCTTTCTTAGTCAGCTCAGTTTCCTGTTTAGTGAGTGCCTGTTTTCAAACAATATCAGTTTATGAACAAGACAAGGATAGCAAATACTTAATATCTGTTTCATTTTGACCCAAGTCACCCGACCAAGAGTTTAAAAAATAAGAACCTCTTCTTTTTGTGTTAGGGTGGTCTCCATGAGCTCCAGTTTGGTTTTCTCATCATGAAGAGCTCTTTGCTGGTTTTCAATTTTCACTTTCAAGTCCTCTAACTCTTTCTGAAGCTGTTTTAGCTCCAGAGATCTATTGAAAATGTGATCCTCTCTCTCATTGAGAGAAGCTTGCGCTTCAAGTGACCTTTCCTGTTCTTCCTTCAAAATATCGTGCCTTTCAGAAAGCAATTTTCTCTCAAGAACCATCTCCTTCTCTTTTTCATCACATCTGCGAGATAGAGATTAACATAAGTAAAGAATATCTAGTGCAAAAAATATAACAATCACTGAAGCACAATATGAGAATATGCAAAAATAATGATGATGATGATGATGATGAAAGGAAAAAAAAACAATTTTTGAACTTTATGACACAATCAAGTTGTTACTAAAAGAAGGGAGATAAAATTTCCAATGTCATCTCATTTACACATAATATTGTAATTGTAATTATAATTATAACAATATATCATGAGAAGATGTGCAAAGATGTGAAAAATGAGTTTATAAATGGGACAGGGATGATAAATTATCAGCATAACCAACATCATGATAATAATAAAAATACATACTCCGACTTGAAAGATATGATACGCCGCCGAAGGTCATCTTCACGTGCTTCAACATCCCTAAGCTTCCTTTCTGCAACATTGTTATATCGACTGGCTTCAGCTTGTAAAGATTCAGCAGTACGCACTTTGGCCTCAGCCTCTGTAAATTTCCTCTGAGCTTCATCTATCAAACAATGGGCTTCAGCAAATTTACTATCAGCTGCAACTTTTGTTTCAGCACATTCAGCACGCATCTCACCCAAGGCCTTCTCAAGCTACAGAAATCAATAAAAATCATCACCTAAAAGATCAGACTTCAAGATCAATTATTGGTACATGCGAGGAGAAATTAACATTTTATATGAAAGAAAACTATATTCAACAAGCTTACACTAGCTATACACTCTTTTTTCACTTCTACTGTCTTTTTCAAATTTTCTTCTCGTTTCCTTGCCTCAACTAAAGCAGATAACTTCACAGCTAAATCACGTTTATGTAACAACTCAGAAGACTCAGTTGAAGCCTTAAGTTGCTCATACTTGGAAGCCAATTCTTTTCTCTCCAATAAGAGAAGGCCCATGTGATGCTGATGATCGTAGACCTACATTAAACATCAAACTCAGATATATAATACAAAGTGTAAAGAATAACGATTTTCACTAACATTTGCACAAGGGAAACTAATGAATGCATCTATTAAAAAAAGAAAGACGGGAGATAAGTGTGTTTGCAGAGTATTCAGGTGAAAAGAAATTACGAATTACGAAGACCCCCAATCATATTTAAGGGAAAACAGTGCAGCAGAAATGTGGACCAAAACGGGGTCAGAAAACAAGTTCCCACCATCAATATGCAACACGATGACTTTCGCTTTAATAGAATCAATATAACGACCCAGTCCTAATCACCTAATTATTAGTGAGGTGGCGACATACATGACCAATGAACCCATACTTAACCAGTAAGCTTAGTCTCATAAGCATATAATAAAGCTCCAACACCATTTAAAAAAAAAAAATCTCACATTCGGATCACCGGCATACCACCGTTTTGAGCATCACTGACTTTCGGGAACGCCATTAAAACATACCTTACAGAAGAACATATTAACATGATAAGCCGTGTCGAATGATTTTTAATGCATATTATTGAAATAATTTTTTGCATTCGGAGGCAATCACTAAACTCACTACTAAAAACAGAAATGACATTGTACAGAATAAATTAGAAAAGTACAATCTAAGTTCAGACGAAAGAGAGGAGTCCCTGCATTTCACCTTCCAACAAGAAATTTGACATGAATTCGGTCAACAAAAGAAATTTGACATCAATATATCTTTCCCAAATCTCCCAAGAGGAGAATTAAAGAAATTGGGTCTCCTATAGTAAAGAATTCCATAAAAAGATGAGTAGAAAGAACGAACCTCAGCTTCGAGCTTGGCGATATAGGCGACAAGCGCGGCCTTGTCCTTCTGTTTAATCGACTCCTCGTCGAAGCCGGCTCGTTTAAGGCGCAACCAGATCTCATCGTCACTGAGAGGGCTTCTAAGAACCCTAGAACGCGGCGTGATTGACAACGGCTGAGCAGAAGTAGAAGGAGTCGCCATCGCTTCCCCGCCAGAAAACCGTATATCTGATTGTTGTTGTAGTTCTCAGGTTGCAGATAAATCCTTCCAGCAGATCCCACCACGATGGCTTTACAGGTTGTGTGGCTTGTGCGTTCAAAGATGAAAGTGGCAACAGCTTTACTACTGAGACTATATTTCTTTTCTTTTCTTTTTTTTTTTTCCCTTGGCGAATGGCGAGAGTAAAGTGATTGTTGGCACTTTATAATTTTTTAAGCCCAAATTCAGGAAGGGCATTTCTGTTGTAATTTCTTCTGACCGGATTTTTTTTTTTCCGGGTTTCTTTTTTTCCCCTAAAGTTCCTCCCGAAAAAATAAAAGAATCAACCCTTACCCAAAAAATGAAAGACTCAATCAAGTATAGATGAAAATTATCCCAAATTATAATCTCAATTCCAATCGTGTTAATAAAATAAGATTAAGAGCTCATTTGTTTAACATTAAAAAAATTATTTTTAAATTGTTTAGAGTTCTTACAAAAAAATTATTTTATAAAAAGTAGATATTATTTAATTACAATAATAAAAATGAATATGAGTTCTTTATTTTTAAATTTTATAATATTTTCATTGATTAATATTTTATAAAAATAATTTATTATTTAATTATTTTAAAATTTTATAATATATTTATGTATCTTACATTTTTAAAATATTATTTCTCATATTTTACATTAGATTATTTTCATAAAGAACCTAAAGCTCTAGTTGGTTTAAGGGAGGAAAGGGGAGGAGAGTGTTCTTATGATACCTCATTTGGTTTTATTGGATGTGAGAGGAAGTGAAAAATTTTTAATAATTTTTTATTTAGTTTAGAAGAAGAGGAAGGGTAACAACTAATTTATTATTATATTCTTATATATTAATTTAAAAGTTTTAATTGTTCCTCCTATAAAATGATTTTACATCTTAATTAAAATTGCATGATTTATCAAAATGCACTCTCATCCTATTATATTTGTAAACATATGTGTAAAAGTCTAGTAAAAAAAATTAAACTAATTAAATAATATTTTTATAAGAAAAATAAATAAATATTAAAGACCAAAGAGGCCAAGACGAAGAAGCATATTAGTCAACAAAAAAAAAAAACTGAGGGCATAGTGGACACGTTGGATAAATTGCATTACTGATATTAACACCAAAAATAAAATGATGAGTACCATTAGTTCGTGAGCAACCAACCATCTACTGTAAAAATAAGATAGATTCTATTTATGATCATTAGGCCCTCCTAAAAAAATTTATTAAATTTATCGAGTTGTTTCAAAGGATCAAAACAGCCAATTATTAATGGAACTTCTTGTCGGCTTTCTCTAAAATGCTCATTGGGATGAGGTTTTCTAAATACATCATAATCTAAACTCATGATGACAAATAACCAGCTCTCAGTGAATAGGGAGGGCATAGTAATGCTATGAGTGGATACAATTTTTTTAAATTTTTACATATAGGCATTTTTGAAATATCACTTAAAAATTGAGGGTATATTAGTCAAAATAATTTGGTCCCATCCAAAAAAACCTCAATTTTGCGGAAATATATTGTGGAAATTAAGGTTTTATTGATAATTTAAAATTAGGATTAATATTACTTTGTGGTTTTATTAAGGAATAAATTTGTATTTGAGATTATTTAAAATTAATCAAATGTTTAGGATTTTAATCATGGATTAAATTGAGTCTAAAATCATATAAAAATGAAAATTAGGTATTGAACTGAATTAAGTCCAAAATCATGGGCTAAAGTGAAAATTGGCCATTTTGCCTTTGATCATGCTCAAATGAGCACTACATAGGGTTTGACCACTAGCAAATATTGATAGAAATGGAGGATTATTTAAATGAGGTGTTTCAAGTATGGGTGGGGTTAAAATTGTCTAAAACAATCTCTGTTTCACATTTCATATCAAAATGTAGAGAGGGAGGGGAATAATAGAGAGAGGGGCAATTTGGCCTTGTTAGGACTTAATTTCCTAGCGCCTTATAGTGTTTTGAGCTTGGAAATCATTTGAGGTAAGCTTTTAGTCTTCTCCTTTGCCATTCTACATAGTTTTTTCTTGAATTGAGGATGATTTTTTTAGTAGAGTTTTCTTATAGAATAGCTAATCAAAATGTATAATGAATAAATGTAGTTGTTAATGTTATTGGGAGTATAATAAATGCCATAAAAGATTGTGGTTGGTTTTCAAATTTAAAGATTATGAGTTAAACCTTAAGCCCATGTTGTTGAGTTTGAGGATAAAACTGAATTTTTGGGATGTTCTCTGACGGTTAAAAGTTTTCTTGGGTATAGATAGATGTTTGTAAAGCTTTAGAATGGTGATTTAATGCTTGAGATCACACTTTTGATTTTTGGGATATTTTTGGAGAATTTAAGGAATGGGAAGTTAATTATAGCTTATTGGTGTTTGAAGATGGTAGAAAAGAGTGTTCGAAGCTTGGTTAATGTACTAACCTTAAATTAGTGTTAATTATGAGTTTAGGGACTTAGGCTCTCTAACTCTATATTTATAGTAGTTTATTGATTTCAAGCTTCAAATTAATAATATATATTATGAAAAATTTGTGTAGATTGTGTTTACAAAAAATATGGTGAAAGTGGAATTATGAAGGAAAACTTATTGTCCAAACCATAAGGTAACTATTATTAATATGTGATGGGGTATGTGTGTAATTGATTATGTGTGACTTTATTGTGTTTGGCAAATTATGTTGTGTTTGGGAAGAATGTTTTTATTTGGAAAAGTTAATTGCCAAATGGGATGAAATGTATATGAATACTATGTTTGGTATATTTATTATTTAGAAATATAAAATTGTTCAAAAATGTTTGAAATATGCATGATTTACTGGGTTTTTGAAATACTAGAAATCACCTACCATGTGGTAAGAACTCATTTCCAATGAGTATTTATTAGTTAAGAACAACTCACTTTTGGTTAGGTAACTTGGTTCTAGGCACAATTTATGGATAGATATAAGATATAGTCATACAAAATATCTATTATTCAAATTGTTTGAATAATACATGTTTGGAAAATAATATTATATGCCCATTTAGCAATCGCATGATTAATTGCATTGCATATTAATTTTGGTTATTATGACTTTTGTATTTCATTTCCCATTATTAACATTTTTATAGAAATGAGTCCAACTTGGGAAGCACTAGAGGCCTAAACTTGGTGTATGAGACATCGGTCCTTTTGCTTTGCCTCTTTAGATTAGTAATATATACTTGTCAACCTAGGGCAATTTTGATTTCAATTGAACATGTAGATTCTATATTTTAATTGACCCTACATTTGTTTGCCATGAAAATCCCGTTTGTCCTTTATAACCATAGTTGATTATTTAGGATATTTATACCCTGATTTAACATTGAGATTGATATTATTTAGATATTGTTATACAACCATATAGGGTAGTTATAATCCAATCATGGCTTTACTTTATTCATGTTCAAAATATGTTTGCTAAATGATATAAGATGTAGATGTGTTTGTAGTCAAGTGTACACCATAGAGTAGACTCTAGTAGGGTCATGTTAATAAATTGTGAGAAGAGTTGCTCAAGCCCGCATTGAGTATTGGCAATTAAATTTATGTTTGGGATGTGATGGCTATCTATTGGGTGGTCACTTGTATCACCTTGGTTTAGTTATGAGTGATTAAAATGATATTTTGAGATTTAAACTACCTCTGGAACCGCATTTCTCTTGAGTTTATGATTTTTAACAAATTGATGCGTTTTAGATACTTTTTTTAAATGAGATCCTGTTGAACACATTCTATTACATATTGTTTTCCATTGGTATCTATTTATTTACTCTGTTTAGTTCCTAAATCACTATGATACACCTATTTTGTTATGTTTAATCTTTCCTGTCATAATAAAGCTTTGGGTAGTTCATTTTGAGAAATGTTTTATTGTAAGAAAAGTTTTTTCTATCATAGTAAACTTTATAAAAGTGATGATTTTGTTTTTTAATTATTATAGTAACCCATTTTCTATAATGCAAAGGTTTAAAAATGATATCTAAAAATCTTTTTACCATGATAAAGCTTCATTTACCATGACAATATTTTGAAAAATTAGATTTTACTCTTTATTATTGTGATAGACACTTTTTTATCATAGTAAACATTTGATGGTAAATGTTTGATTATTAAACCATATTTTCGTGAAAAATTGAAATGAAATTTTAAAATATTACATTTTGAATTCAAATTATATAAGTTCTTCCACAATTATTGAATCCAAAATTAAGTAGTAAACGTTAATTTCCAAAAAGCACCACAAAATATAAATTAATTTTTAAATTTTTCAAACTTTATTTTATTCAAATATTTTATTATAAAAAAACTAGTTAAGTTTTCTTTTTCAAAGTAAGTTGATAATTTCCATTATATATATATATATATATATATCTCAATAAAATATAATGTAGTAAAAATGAAAGATTCTATTTATTTCTATTTTTATTTTAAAAATATTTATAATTATACTTATAATGCTTCAAATAATTATTTAGATAATTTTTTGTGAAAATAATTATTTAATTAATCACAAAAGCTACTACTAGCTAACTTATTATGCCTCTGTGTTTAAGATTAAGAAATAAGTGATTGTTAGATAATTTAAATATTTTTATTTTGTAGAGATTTTATAAATAGTAGATATTATTTTATATATTTGATTACAATAATAAACAAATTATTAATTAGTTATTTTTAATTTTATGATAAATTTTCTTGATTTCTGTTTTATAAAAATAATTTATTATTTAATTATTTTAAAATTTTATAACATTTTCGTGTATCCCGCATTTTTTAAACATTCTCTTCCATATATCACATTAAATTATTTTTAAAAGTTACTCAAAGTAGTATTTCTTTAAAATAATCAGAAATATGCTTTTTCATATTTTGATTATTTTTAAAAATGTAAATAAATATAAAAAACTCAAAAATAAATTTAGGCTGAAACAAATGGTCACAAGAAATCTTCTCTGGAAAATTTAATGATTGATTGTCATATTTATTTTCACAAAATTAAATGAAGACAAAGCTCTCTTTTGAACTAACTTGATGTAACATCCCCCATCTCATACATGAAACTCATGCTCGTATTCAATGCTAAAAAAAGATATAATTATTATAGGCTTATATCTCCTTCAAGTTAATCATAAACTAATAGAAAATAAGAAAGTTATTGTGATGATTGACTAGCTAAAAATAACTTGATCATGACTGTTGATTTTATTTTTTTTATGGAGTCTCCTGTGAAGGCCAAGTATATGTTGTATTGAGTTAAAAATGCTGTTAGTCTCAGATTTGTTAGTTAATAAAGTTTTCTATCAACAAAAACTCATTTGGTGTCTCCTAAGCATGTCAAAAATTCTTCTTTAATTAGAGATGTGACATATTCGTTGAGAATATCCACATCAAGGGATTCCTAAAGAAGTAATTTTGATTGCCAATTGAATAGTTAGATAAAACTTATTGAAAGGAGTTAATCTCAACATTTCGTTGAACTGGGTCATTTGCTGTCCACTTCCTTTACATTTTTTTTAATCAATCCTTTACAATGTATTAAACAGAGTTCTTGTGATTTTTTGTGATGGCACTGGTTAATTTCTTTACTTTACAATTTCATTTAACAGAGATCTTGTGATTGTTTGTGGTGGTGGTTGTTGATTTCTTTAGTTTTCTGTTATTTATTTTTGTTTGAGAGAATCTCAACCAGGAGTCCTGAACTCCTTTTAGAGAAATAATTGCAGTCTTCAATTGTCATTAATATCTATACAATGTACCTAATTGTCATCTTACCAATTTTTTTTTTAAACAAATCCAAGGTCCTCAGCTGAAATTAAATTTCTTGACTTCACTGAGTCTTTTATATTGAATTTGAAAATAAAATGTGTAAGTTTTGGCCTATACAAGCGTGTGAACACACGCATAGATGTGTGTGTGAAATCAAGTGACAGCTTAGGCCTTAAAGCATGGCTGACATAAAACTTGAGTTTCGATCCAGAACCATATGAATTATACTAATTAATTATTATTATTATTATTATTATTATTATTATTATTATTATCACTAAACAGCAAACTATGTTTGATGCCTGATAATTGATAAAGTAACAATTTAACAAACTATGGCTTGACGCATGACACATAAAAGAAAAATTATTGGAAGAAAAACGATCGGCCAGCCTTGAACACCCAAAAAAAAAACAAAAAAACAAAAAAAAACAATACAGAACCATCACTAGTTCACAGCAGTACGTGAATCAAATTTCCACTAAAAAAATAAAAGACTTACAAGCTTGGAAGAGCCAGAGAATGAGATAAAATGGAAAGTATTTCACTAGCTATTTACAAAACTATGCGTCCAAGGTTTTCATAGATAGACTACCACGTGTGGATTTTAAGACCTCCATAGGAGAAAACGGTGATACAACGTTGAAACTAGACAGCCACCAAAATATAAATCTACATGCTATATGCAGCCTTTTTTTGTTCGTGGTAATCCTGAATCCAGCCTTCAATTAGCTTGATCTCAATTGTCCTCTGCTCTACCAACCAATCAGGATCATCAGGGCCAGCAGCACGTAAATCTATGTGGTGTGCTCCTAATGAAGAGAGAGAGAGAGAGAGAGAGAAATTAGAATGAAACTAAGTTTGCCAATCAAAGTTGGCAAGGGAACTTTGAGTTTGTTGAATGCCTCATTAAAGATAAACCAATTTAAGTATTTTTACAGTAATGCCGTCCTGCAGCTAAAAGCTTCACAAGGAAGTTGCAGGCTGGCAGGTGATCAATCTAATCTTCCAAACAGTTGTAGGATACAGAAAGGCATGTATAGGAAATTTTACCATCAATGGCATATTAAAAACAAATAAGGGCAAAAATCCTAAACCATGCATTAACGATCATAAATAAAAGAACGAATCTGCTAATGAAGACATTTGCACAGTTCTTGATGACTGCACATTACCGCCACCCCGAGACACCAACCAGAACATAAATACAATAGTTAGCAAATCTAAAGGCATCAGTCATGCACAAAATGCTAGATAAGATACTCATATTTTGACAGCACGTGACAAAGATCATTGAAATTATAGATTGAGATGTTGCTTCTACCGACAGACGACAAGCTCAGAGATCATAACTGGAATATAAAAGGGGATATGAATAATTAGAGTTCAGTAGAAGTAAGATTTCAGTCAAACCAGTGAATGGTTGGAACAAATGAGAAAGCTGGAAATATGAGTAACCTAGACTTCTTCGTACCTCATAATCACATTACTTAAGTACAGCTATCACTTATCAGTCACACCTATTTTCCTAAATGCATATTTAGGATATCATTATGCTTGCTGTCAAGGACACTGCTTCTAGTCATCTAGCACACAAGTTTATGGACACAAAAGGACCAGAGGTTTGAGAAATCATTTACATGATAAAAAGAACTAATGTCAATCTCATTTTTCAACCACAGAAAAGGACTTATTACAAGCTTTAAGTAAATGAGATACATGGCTGGCTTGTCATATGTTCCATATATACATCAGACTGCTTATAAATTCAAAAATTACAAATTCTTTACCTTCTTCAGTGACAAGAGAAACGATACTTTCAGATATGTTGTGCAGAACACTGAAACAGAAACAACTTGGATACTTAGGATTCAACTAATTATAAAAAAATCGACCTCAGTGAAATTTTTTATTTTAAAAATATAAAAAAAATCAAGACTTAAGATATTGTTAGAGTGAATTTGTCACCTGCCACCACTCCATGGATCCAATAAGCCATTTGAGAAAATTATATTGCTTCCAAATTTTTTCAACGCACCGTGAATATCCTTCAAAGTTCAAAACACATGCCCAAAAAAATGAAGATTTTAAGAAGGGGTGCAAAATCAGAGAACAATCAGAATGAAGATTTTAAGAAGGGGTGCAAGCTTGTGCTTTCTATAAACTAATTACCTAGATGGCATTATAAGGGACGGAGGCATTTCATTTTACAGCATCGACCACCTGTCTTTAAGTGTGGAAGGGCAAAGTGGTTTTAATTAAAATGAAATGTTCCCTTCCCTGAGAATGCCATTTAGATAATTAAATCAAATGTATATATATATAATAGAGAAGCCAAGTAATTGAATTATTGTTACCATTTTGAAACCTAAAGACGCAGAAAAAGTTGGATGTACTTATTCCCACAAGTAAAAGTTTAGTTTTTTGTCATCATAAATCTCAGGAATAGTATATTATTGGAAATTTTCTAATTAACTAACAGAGAATTATTTGTCTTAAAGATTTCTACAGAATTACTGGGATACCCAAAACTACAGGTTGCATATCAATCATTTCAAGCTCCTTTTCTTCCCTCAAATTTCTCAAGTCATTGTGTATCCAACCACCAACCATCTCTTCCAAAACAAGATAAGGAAATAATAGCCTATGGATGTTCGAAGTATAACTCAAGCACGTGACAAATATTTCAAAGATGCGTTAGTATTACCAATCAAAAAAACCTATTGAGAAAGACATATGATTGTGCTGTGACATAATATCTTCTACATTTTTCCCTTTTTTTTCCTTTTTCTTTTTTTTTTTGGGGGGGGGGGGCCGTGGGGGTTGGGGTTGTTGGAGTAAGGATTAACTGTAATGCACCATTCACTTACATGGCCACCAAATTGTGTGGTAATCCATTTTGGCCTCGGTGTCACTCCAAAATTCTTGAAGCATTCCTCTTTGAAAGAAGAATAATTAAAGTCATATGTTGGAAACATGCTGGACTCCTTGCTACTAGACATTGGCATAACCATCTCAGTGCAAGCCTGCATCATGGGTTAGGAAAGATGGAACTGAATATACTATGAGAACATATTTGTCAAAGAAAATTGTGCAACTGGGCTTCAAGACTCTTGTAAACCTGCCAATTCCAGCCACTCAGGCCATGAGGATCATCATCCAGTTCAAAACATTCAGCCTCTCCAGTATAATTGTAGTAAACGTTCACTCCTTCATATATGCGATCCAAGATACTAGTTCCAGCAGGACAATCATCAATCCTTTTGCAAACCTATGAAATGATGTATAATCATATTTACTAGCTATAACAGTCAGGACCCTTCCTGATAACATTCACTTCCTCATCAGTATCACAAAAACCAATTGATTTTAAGATAGGATGATCAAGGTACAGATAAATTTGCATAGTCAGACAACATTAAAAACAGGCCTGTAGGTGTTATAAGATAATTTATCTCCCGTTATGAAATCAAACTAACCTCCTTGATGGGGTGTGCAGGCAAAGGCCTCATAAAGTTAGCAGGATATGGATAGTTCACCATTGCCAAATAACTATAGGCAGAATCCAACCAGTCTGAAAGATCCTCTGTTTTATTCAATTGCCTAGTAATTGCCTTCAATTAGTTCATCTAATCAGAGGAACAAGATAGCACAACATATAGACCATCATTTATCATCATCTAATGCAAGAATGGACATTTATGGATAGAACAATGCCTCACCGACATAAGCGATAGGTTTTGGTAAGTTGTTCAAGGCCATTATTTGTCTGACCCTTAGATTTCAGCTCACCCCAAGACAGCTTGATATAGTTAAAGCAGCTAGGACTTTCACGCTGTTGGCATGAGAGAGTGAAATTGTTAATATGCAAAACATCACACAAATAAAGATGAGAACAATGAGCAAAGACATCTTACCCTGAAATCATTGGAAACAATATCATAGAACGTTTCAGGGGGAACAATGTCTTCAAATTGAAGAATTGGAGCTGAAGATGCAAGTGCTCCAATTGCAATATGAGGATATTTGAGTCTCATCCATGCTGCTAACACTGTTTTAGATTAAAAGAAGAAAAAGAAGAAGTTGAGAGTGGAATCGTTAATGATGTTCAGAACCAAAAATACAATAGGCTGATTGCCTAGAAATGGCAATCCACATCAGTGATAAGTGATTTCTGATTTTGGTTGAAACAGAAAGTTTAATGTAAAGCAAGAACTAATCGTAAAACTTCTATGAGCAACATTCTCCTTTTTAAGTGAAAAAGACCACAAGTCCCTGTTGCACTTAAAATTTCTCTTAGTAATTGTTTTGGATTGTTCCAAAAAAAAATTATAAAACCCACTTATAGCCAATCAGATTGAAATGTTCACATATAAAGTATCCAAGCACCAAGTTACTCACTTCCACCATATGATCCGCCAAACAGCACAACCGGACAATCCTTGCAAGATAAATTTTGCTTCAGCTCGGTAAGTAGAACAGAAAAGTCAGCAAGCGCTTGCTCAGTGGTAAGGTATGACAGTGTAGTAGCATTCTTATAAGCCTCGTCTTTACTTCCGAAGGGGACAGATTCGCCATAGTATCGATGCTGCCATACAACGACCAAGTAAAATTTAAATCAATACTTCCTCCGTCTTAAACGTAGGACTAGGAGCTAATCAGGGACTAGTTAAAGAGTTTGTTTTGGTCCTTAAGCGTAAAACCTCAATCTCTTATGTCCAGTCATTTATTATTTTATTTCAAACTACTAAGTTTGATTATTGCAATGCAAAGTTGAATGGCTATTTAGGAATTATTTATTTGGAGTATTCTAGGAAAATCAAGGCATAATTCACGGAATCAACTTACCCAATTTTCTTAATCCATATGAAATAGTTAACTAGTTTGACGTTTAGAATCGGACGAGAAAGTATCATATAGAAACAATAGAAGAGATACATGCCGAATTTGCACAACCATGAACCATAAATACTTACTTCCGGAAAAACAACCATGGCACCGAACTGAGGTGCGATTTCCCAAATAAAGCCAGAATTGGCAGCGAACCAGACAATATCTCCTTCATTGCCGCAGTAGAAGAAAATAGGACCCAAGCGCTGAGGACCAAGCCAATGCTCAGTGCTGATAAGATACCGCTGACGAAACTTGGGGAGTTCCGCGAAACTGAAGTGATCAAGACGCTGTTCGAAATATTGGGTTTCGTATTGAGGCTCAATCTGAGGGTGAGATTCCGTTTGACCTGCGAACTTCCCAAGGAATCGCGGGAACCTGTAGGTTGGTGATGCGAGTGATTGTAAAGAACACGAGACGATGATGACAAGAGAAAGAAGAAGACAGCAAAGTCCGTGTTCTGGCATTGTTCCCAAGTAGCTCTGCCTTGTTCGCTGACTCTGCTCAACACTCAAGCAGTACAGTTTTTGAAGACGCCGAGGCCAAGCTGAGGTGTTTTGTTAATTAAAAAAAAAAAAATACACTTGGCGCATTTAACTCCAATAACGCGTGAAAATCATATGATAAGGTTGTCACCAAAGAGCACAAAGACAAAGCATCATTTCACTTCAAATCTAATCAATTTGGAGTTGGAGGGCCATCTTTCCTTGAAAGGTAAGACTTTTTTCCTTGAAAGTAATGGAATAAAGTTGGCAAAATCCAGCCTTAAGCCCCACTCATTGTTTTAAAAGCTAGATTAGATGGTTAGCCTTGTTAAATAATCAATTGAAATAGTTAATAGTTTGATTAGGATAAAAAAATTTATTTTTATAATTAAATTAAATTGAATTAAAATTGAGCGAGTCGAAAACCAAATTTATTTATAAAAGGATGAAAACTTAGGGGACAAAATAGAAAAATAGAAAAATTAAAAAATTAATTTCTATTAAAAATTAACTTTATTTTTAAACCTTCAACTTTCACATATATATAATATAATTTCGAACCATTTTTTTATGGTGACATTGACAATTATGATTATAAATGTATATACTTTTAAGCCTATTAATATCTGATTTAACTAAAATTCAACTATATTTAACAAGCTATAAATTTATATTTTATAATATTATTGATTTATGATGATGTTATATTATTTTATTAATAACTAGACTCTTACATATATTTTATATATGTAAGTAATATTATTTTTTGTTAAATTATTATGTTATCGATTTAACTATCAATCTAACTTGTTAGACTATAAATATCAAAAACTGTTAATGATCAAATCAATTGAATCATAAAAGTTAAAATTTATTAACTTTTTAATTTAATGTTTGATCCGGTTTTTAAAATATTACTTTAGGTGAGCAAGTCATGAGTGGGATAAATTTAGACAAGTAAATGTCAAAAAAGAAAAAGAAAAAAAGACAAGTAGACGCTTGCCATAAAAGGATGGAAAAGCTAAACACGATCAAAGGGGTGTCGTTGTTAACTCATTAGACTTAATTTTTTTTATTTCTCTGCACAATTTTGATCGTGAGCTTGTAATTAAGTCACCTACAACGTTCCACCAGATCTTGAGTATGCAAGTATCTTACCAGAGCCACGTACTGATGATCCTCTTTTTTGAACAAGCATTTGAAAGGATGCTTAATATTGCCATTTCACAGAAGTTTTTCTTGAACTGGGCTTTCATTCTGGTATTTCTCCTACTTCATAATCAGCAACGTTTGCTTTTGGTGGGAAACATCTAGTTCCGATGGCTAATAGCTGCAATGAACTCAAATTTTACTCAGATGATAAATATACAACTAGCCTCAACTTGAATATTTAATGAACATTGCAATCCCAAAAACATCATGTCAACATGCTTAACTGAAAATTACATAGCCATAAGTAAGAGAAGGGGAAGCCACAGAGTTGCAGATTGAAGAAGAATGAGAAACTCCAAGGTCACAATAACTACGGCCGAAGAGAGGAAGAAACGTCAAATACAATTTATCCATAACCTAGTTGGCATGTTTTTTTTTTTTTTGGCCAACTTGTTAGCATTTTTCCCACCAACATATCTTCATTTCTTCCCATTCCGTCCCTTCTTCAAAGCCCAAGGTAATTAGCCCATTAATGCTTTTTCATAGTCCAAGCCCATTAATATGACTTTAGAGCCTCAGTCCTTATGGACTTGGCTCATATAAGCTCATGCCCAAGGCCTGATGTAATTGATCATTTTTTCAAGCCCTCCTTTTTTTATAAGTAATATAAATTTTAATTTTAAAATATAAACATATGTTATGACATTTAAATTTAATTCAAAATTAAAAATATCTTCAATTTTTCAAACCTAATAAAAATAAGTTTAAACGGGTGACTTATATGTCCAGCTCTATATTACATTTTGGAGTTTCAGAAAAGTTCACAAGGGCTTTGCTGCATCCCCGCGTACGAGATAATGAGAAATCAGTACTTTCAATGAGTTGCATGCATAAATATATTTATCGCATCACCTAATTAAATCATTGCACATTATTTAACACTGGGTATGATAAAAGCTAGAGGTTCACTACTTCCAGCGACATGCAACTTTAGTTTTCATCTTGATAGATGAAAGCTAGCCCATCAGCCCATGCAATTTTCAAAGAGATTTTTACTAGAAGTCCCACACTATCATACTTAAAGGGAAAAGAACAATAGAACATAAAAATATTAATTAAATAATAGAATAAGCATTGGAGTACCTACGCAAATACACAATACAAAATAAATCATCGCTTATTATTACATATATACACATAGATTTTCGTGATGATGATTCCAATCAATATATGGATCAACATTACTACCAATATTAATATTATTAATATATCAATATTAAGTAATATAAAATTTATTGCAAGGTTTATTTTTTTACACGTCACTACCTATGTGGGCTCACCCGATACAATAAAGATTATACAACAAGTCATTTGTTCAGGCCTACTAGGGATAATGAAGGCCCAATTGAGCATTGGATATGGGCCATCGGTTTCATTTGAGATTCCACACGAACAATTATTATTAACAAGAGAGAAGATGTCATCAAAAAGAAAAAAAAGGAAAGAAAAAAGAAAAAAGAAAAAGGAAGAAGGAAGAAGGAAGGAAGGAAGGGAAAATGGAACGTAGTGACAAGGGAAAATAGTTGATAATGAAATCGTTGACAATAGAAAAGAAGCCACTCAAGGATTCTAACTTTGCTGTAGAAGAATTCCCCCCCCCCCCTGAAAAAAAGGATTCTAACTTTATTTTATTGGGCTTAATATTCCCTTTCTACAATTTGCATCCCATTCGGGGCACATTACAAGGACCGTTCCTCGCCATCTAAGGCTCATGCCCTTCAATCACTCGGTAATATTAACCTCTTCTTCCATTTATTTTTAAATTAATGAATAAATAGAACTTTAAATTCTTATTTAAAAATTACTATAGATCTTAAACTTTTAAAATATGCAAAATAAATCTTAAATTTTTAAATTTATAGTAAAATAAATCATGATCGTTAAATTTTTTAACGCCGTTATTGTCCATACGGATATTATTACAGTCAAGGTTAAATTTATAAGAAACTAAACCCCAAAAAGTACTATCGTGGATAATAACAGTGTTAAAAAGTTAACGATCAAAGTTTATTTTGTTATAAATTTAAAATTTTAAGGTTTATCTTGCATATTTTAAGAATTCAGGATCCATGACGATTTTCGAGCAATAGTTTAGGTCCCTATATTATGGGTGTGTTTGATTTCTTTTTTTAAAAAATTTATTTACTGTTTTTTAAAATAAAAATAAAAACCTTGTTTGAATAAATGTTTTAGATTTAAATATTCTCAAAATTTTTCTCATGTTATGTTTGTAAAAATAAAGAATTGAAAACATCTTTTAGCCATTTTTTATTTTTCAAATTATTATAAATTATGGCCAGCCACTATCATAGGCCACCATCATTAATCATTGGTAAACACTATTATTGACTGATTTTTTTTTTCACTTTAAAATAGTTTTCAAATTGACATAATTAAACAGATTTTTTTTTGTTTTGTTTTAAAACACAATATAATGCATAACATTGAATTATAATAAGTCATTGTTGTGTGAGAGAGAGATGGGGAGAGAGCCCTAAAAAGAATATAGGAAAAGAGTGGTGATGAACATGAATATATGATAATGAAAAGAGGGATTTAAAGATGAGTGATGATTGTAAGTATCATGTCAAATGGTTTTTGCTAGTTAAAGAACAAAATGATTCAACGTTCACTTCATGAGGGGTTAGATTATTTGAGAGAGACCAAGCATGGAGAGGGATGCTGGCGTAGATGGCGGATTACGTGAATTGAAGGCCAAAATAAATCAAAGCTCATAAATTGACCTATACTACTACTTAGCTTAGCTGGTTGTGGTTTAGGGCTTTTAATTTGCATGGCCAGTGGTCTCCAGTATAATCAACCCTCCTAATCATATTCCTTTGTTTCATTGCTCACTCCCTTTTGTTTTCTTCTACGCCTACCTATTTGTTAGGCGTGGACCTATACTCTTTCATTTCTAACCGATCTCCATGGTCCCTTTGTGTCCTTATATTCTTCTATACTTCTACCCTTCCTTCTTCAATTCAATCTACTTCACATGTTTATATATATGAATAGGCAAATCGCTATCCTCCTTCCTTCCACACACAAATAAATTAAAATCACTACTAGAAAAATAGAATTTAATGTCATTTTTTATAGCTGAATTGCATTTTACCCAAGAATTTTGTCTCTCGCTAAATTCGTAATTAAAAAAGGACTCGTTAAATTTAATGAGAAATTGTATTGCCTCGCTAATTAGTGAGGGATTTAGCGAGGGATTCAATCTTTCGCTAAAATTAGCTAGGGATTGAATCCCTTGCTAATCCCTCTCTAATACTATTCAACATTTGATAACTTTAACGAAGAATTAGTCCCTCACCAATTCCTCGCTAAATATGTTTATATTTAAAAATAATTATGCTACATCACCTGCCATGTGTGATGGCAACTTGTGACATGTGATCAACAATCTCATGCTTTATCAACCACCATATCACCTACCATTTCATGCCCTATCACCCATTACATGTGCAACAACTTATGACACGTCATTATCCACTTTATGCCATGTCATTTGCTCCTTACCATATCATATATTTATCATGTTTATGCCAAAGCCAAGGTTTGAACCCTTAACCTCATACCTTCTAAACTTTATACTCTCCTTCTTTGCCAGTTGAATTGAAAGGCACTTACAATTGTTATATGAGAAATTAAATATGTATATATATTATTTAACTACATAAATATATCAAATAATATATCATAAAAATACACACATATACATATTAAATTTTATTTTTAATTATTAATATGTTAAAAATATTTATATTTTATTTAAATTATTATTTATATTATATTTTTAATAAAATATTATTTTATTAATGAAAATCAACTTAAAATAAAAAAATATTAAATAATTTTATTATGAATATTTTAGTTAATTTTTAAATTTAATTATTATTTTTAATGAAAAATAATTAAATGTATGATTAAAAGTCATGGTTAAAAGTTAATTTTTTTTGTAGTAATTAGCTAGGGATAGAATCCCTCGCTAATTATCTTATTTTAGAGAAGGATTGATAGTCTCTCGCTATTTTCCTTACAAATTATCTTATTTTAGAGAGGGATTGACAGTCCCTCGCTAATTTTAAGTCAAGCTACAAAATCAACATTCTTCGCTAATTTCCTCACTAATTTAGTATTTTAAAGAGGAATAGACGATCCCTCGGTAAATTTCCTCGCTAATTTGCATTTTTCTAGTAGTGAATGGTGTATGGCCTGGCTAACTTAGGAGCTATATATATATATATATTAGAATGAATTGCAAATTTCCATGTTGATTAACTCAAGAATGGATTAAAAGATATATAGAGCTTAAGTTTGAGCCAAAATCAAAGGTTTGGATAATTAATAACATGTTGATTTGGATTTAACCCAAATTTAAGTCCAAATCTTATCTCAATCCCTTTGTAATTTCAAATCTTTTCTAAACTCCTATTTTCAAATTTCAATGGAAGCTTGTTTCTTCCTTTGCGCATTCTTTTATTATCTTTACTACCTTCTCAATGTCGACATCCATTAAGACTGTAAGAAATAATCGGGGCCAAAATGCCGACACTAATTGTAGCATCCCATAAAATTAACTTTGATTAAGTTAAAATGAGGTTAAATTGTGAATTAATATGGTGTGTGGTTAAAGAGGTTCGATGAGTGTTTTTGATTGTGAAGTCGGGTCACTTGAACATCAAAAAAGGGGAGAATTAGTGAAAAGTGGCTGTGTCATATGTTGCAGCGTGTAACACTTCAACCATGGTACATGTATGAAGAATAGGCCTCTATGTGCGATGGTCAAATTTCAGCTTAAGTGAAGCTTCGTCAATTCATGAAATGAGAAGGAAGGGAAGGAGAAAACGAAGAGCATTTACCAAGCTCTACTAGGGCTCAAGTTTAAAAATTATTAGGGACATTTTGGAGTCTTTAAACACTAAAAGTAAGTCTCTTGTGTCCTTTCCCTTCATCTTGCTTCATTTTCTTGAAGAGTTGAGTTAAGGTTTG